GTTTGTTTGCTCAAATAAAGTAATTAATTTTTCAATAAATATGGCACTTACGACTAAAATTTTGATATCGGCGTTAAGAGTACTTATGAAATACTTTATCGTATTTCTAAACCTTAGCAAGACCTATTGAAAGATGACTGAATCATGTAAAGAAAAAGAGAGATTCAAGACTGAATCATTGTAATGAAATAAAAAATAAACTATTTTTATTGACTAAAGCATTACGCCGCATTATGCCGCATCTGGTCCGAACTACATGCTACATCGGTGTAAATTGATTGTGGGTTCTTGTAAGCTTAATATTAATGCATTTTACGATAAAAAATTGTATTGTAGCCTATGATTTTGCACATAAAATATTGTAAACAATAGACGTAAGATTAAAATAAAATAAAATAAAATTGAACTATTAAAAAACTTTGTGTCATTGAGAAATATGATAGTCTTGACTTTATTCTATATTTAGTTATACTAACCACTTTAAACTTTATTAAATATATATACTCTTTTATAGGAAATTTCGTAGAGAATTCAGAAATGAATACATATTATTGTATTCGATATACCAAAATCAAGATATTTGCGTTCAAACGGATTGGGCCCAATCAGCCGTCCATTTTATTAAACAGCTCCGCAGTCAACGGAGAATTACGGTTAGAGTCTCCGCAGCTGAAAGGATATATAATTATAAATTAAAATGAAAAGATAAATATACATAAATATAATTAAAATAAAATAAACACAAAAATACATAAATAAATAAAAGCCCAACCAGATGGAAGCCCTCGGCAGGGGAGACCAAACGGCCGAGTGTTAGGAGGAAAGGGAAAGAAACCGGCGGACGATGCGGGCGGTATCGAGGAGCACCGCCTCCTGCATTTGAGCCCGAAGCGATCCGTCACAGAGTCCCAGTCGCCTCAGATGACCCGAGAGGCTGACTGGGATTAGCCCATTCTCAGAGACGACTAATAATTTCGGCCGGCATACCACCCCACATGTCGGTCATCTCGTGATCCAGGTGCAGATATTTTGATTGCTTATCTGTTTCGGCTTTCACGAGGTTCTCGTCATACGGGATGGTAATATCGACCAAAATATCCTTGACTGTACCCGGTCCATCAGCACAATATCAGGCTTATTCGCAAAAATGGTCCTGGCTACGATAATGGCCCGGTCGCAGTAGAGCCTGGCGCGGTAATTTTCGAGCACGGCTTCCGGAAAGTACTTGTAATACGGAAATTTCCGGTCCACGAGACCGTATTTCAGAGCAAGTTCCTGGTGTAGAATTCTGGCTACTAGGTCGTGCCTGTGCAAGTACTCATATTTAGAAAGCGCCGAACTACCGGAGATGACTTGCCTAAGCGACTCACCGGGATGGCGACAAGCTCGACAGACGTCGACGGTGCCATCTTTTAGGATGTATCTTCGATAGTTGTTGGTATTAATAACCTAATCCTGTATTGCACAGACAAAACCCTCGGTTTCCACGAAGAGGTCACCGAAACGTAGCCAGTTGAGGGAGGCGGCTGTATCTACGTGGGGCTCATGTAGAGCCATGTAGTACCTTCCGTGTAGCTCCTTCTCCTTCCATACGGTCTCCCAGTCGAAAATGCTCTGTAATGCCGGGTCCTGCCATTGCTCGTTGGCTAAGGATAGAGGGGTAAGTCCTTTATCACTAGAAATGACGTCATTATGGAATGGATCATCCGATCTCGCCAGGAAGTAATCACGAAGGCTACACACTTCGCGATTATGCATTGTGAGCGCGCTCAAAAAGCCATGCCTAACATGCTTTCGCGGAAAGTACAGCCTCATTACCGACGATCTCGGATGATGCATCCTATGGGACGTCATTGTAGTGCGGACTTTTCTATCCAAGGCGTTTAGTTCAGTCTGACTCCATCTGAGTATGCCAAAGGTATACATGAGGACAGGCATGACCCAGCCGTTATATGCATGTGTCTTATTCACACCGAACAAAAGGCTGTTAAGCACTTTGGTCAAGCGTGCATAAAACAGGTCGCAAACCGACTGTTTCATACCAGTGTAGCGGCGCTGTCGTCGCGCCACAAGCGAAAACACACCGAAGCCTAAATCGCGCTATCAACATTCCGAATCATAAACAGATATATAGAACATCTCCGAATTATCACACGGAGTGTCGGCCGCTCCCCGGGCAGAACACCTTGCCCGGCGGGAGATTTCCTTTTCCTTTCACGGCCACAGTGGTGACCCCGACGTGATTTGAACACGCAACCAACAACCTTCGGAAACTTCAGGCTTCATCATCGTCGTAGAATAACCCCACCCATTCGCTCCCGAGCAGATATCGTCTGCAGTCTTCATATCCTGCAAGTCATCTAGCTTCACAAGGTTCATCGCAGCACTGGAATAATAATGCTTCCTGTTCCTTCAAGCTACTCTCTGCGCCATACAGTGTTCGGCACGGCTCTGAGCCTCACTGCTCGCCTCTGCTTCACGGCACTCTCGCAGATTACTTGCCTTCTTCTCGACTCACCGCAGACTACAAGGCAATCTCCTGGCACTTGCACATTCGTTGGCAACGAGGCTGCACTATCGACCTCCGGTCTGAGCAAGGGGGGTGATGTAGCGGCGCTGTCGTCGCGCCACAAGCGAAAACACACCGAAGCCTAAATCGCGCTATCAACATTCCGAATCATAAACAGTATATATAGAACATCTCCGAATTATCACACGGAGTGTCGGCCGCTCCCCGGGCAGAACACCTTGCCCGGCGGGAGATTTCCCCTTTTCCTTTCACGGCCACACCAGCCTCATCGATACTGATTTCTTTGACATACCCAGGTATCGGTATGTTACAGCCTCGGAAAGGGTCCTTATTGACGGGCATAGATAAGTCTATGCCCTCAGAATTAGTAACCCTTCCCCTTTCAACATGGAGGACTGCACACTTATCCGTCAGCAGCTCCATTCTAATAGAATTGCTAAATTCACAAGTGATGTTTAGCAATTCCATAAGATGGGAGCGACTGGAGACGAATAATTTGAGGTCATCCATATAGAAAAGGTGGGTCGCTTTTGTACTTTCTTTCCGAAGCTGAAATCCCCCCCGAAGCCCTCCAGTAAAGTACTGAGAGGGTTAAAAGAGAGGAAGAACCAGATTGGACTCAGACAGTCGCCCTGGAATATACCCCTTCTTATCCTTATGCGGCTTTCCGCAGCCGTTATTATTATGGGGTATGGTAATATCGACCAAAAATATCCTTGACTGTGCCCGGTCCTTCAGCACAATATCAGGCTTATTCGCAAGAATAGTCCTGTCTGTGATGATGGCCCGGTCCCAGTAGAGCCTGGCGCGGTAATTTTCGAGCACGGATTCCGGCAAGTACTTGTAATACGGCAATTTTCGGTCCACGAGACCGTATTTCAGAGCGAGCTCCTGGTGTAGAATTCTGGCTACTAGGTTGTGCCTGTGCAAGTACTCAGAGTAAGAAAGCGCCGAACAACCGGAGATGTCATGCCTAAGCGACTCATCGGGATGGCGACAAGCTCGACAGACGTCGACGGTGCCATCGTTTAGGATGTATCTCCGATAGTTGTTGGTCTTAATAACCTGATCCTGTATTGCACATACAAAATACTCGGTTTCCCCAAAGAGGTCACCGAAACGTAGCCAGTTGAGGGAGGCGACTGTATCTTCGAAGGGCTCATGAAGAGCCCTGTAGCACATCCCGTGGAGCTCCTTCTCCTTCCATAGGGTCTCCCGGTCGGAAATGCTAAGCACTGCTGGGTCCTGCTATTGCTCGTGGGCTAAGGATAGAGGGGTAAGCCCTTTATCACTAGAAATGACGTCATTATAGAATGGATAATCCGATCTCGCTAGAAGGTAATGACGGAGGCTGCACACTTCGCGATTATGCATGGGGAGCGCGCTCAGAAAACCACGCCCAACATGCTTTCACGGCAAGTACAGCCTCATTACCGACGATCTCGGATGATGCATCCTATGGGACTTCATGGTAGTGCGGTCTTTTCTATCCAGGGCGTTAAGTTCGGTCTGAGTCCTCCTGAGTATGCCAAAGGTATATATGAGGACAGGCATCACCCAACCGTTATGTGCGTGTGTCTTATTCACACCGGACAATAGGCTTTTAAGCACTTTGGTCAAGCGTGCATAAAACACGTTGCAAACTGACTGTTTCATACCAGCCTCATCGATACCGATGTTCTGTGACATACCCAGGTATCGGTATGTTTCAGCCTCGGAAAGGGTCCCTAAGTTGACGGGCTTAGATAAATCTATGCCCTCAGAGTTAGCAACCCTTCCCCTTTCAACGTGAAGGACCGCATACTTATCCGTCCCCAGCTCCATTCCAATAGAATTGCTAAATTCACAAGTGATGTTTAGCAATTACATAAGATGGGAGTGACTGGAGGCGAATAACTTGAGGTCATCCATATAGAAAAGGTGGGTCACTTTTGTTTCTCCCTTCCGTAGCTGAAATCCCCTCCCGGAGCCCTCCAGTAAGATACTGAGAGGGTACAGAGGGAGGCAGAGCCAGATTGGACTCAGACAATCGCCCTGGAAGATATCCATTCTTATCCTTATGTGGTTCTCCGCAGCCATCATCCGCTTGCCCAGATAACAGAGGATCCTACTCCAATGCCCCATACACTGCTCGAGGAAGTCTCTAACTGTACAGTCGATCTTGTACAGCTCGAGGACCCTCCTTAGCCATGTATGGGGCACCGAGTCGAATACCTTTCTGTAGTCTATCCAGGCGGCGGAGAAATTCCGACGGTTGCGTTTCATCACTTTGCCAATGACCGCGTCAATGAGGAGTGGTTACTTGGTTCCACGACCACCGCCCAGACATCCATTTTGACCGCGTGACATCACCTGATTTAACTCCAAGTGACGAGTGATTCTCGCGCTCAAAATGGATGTCAGTGTCTTATTTATGGTGGGTAGACACGTGATGGGGCAGTATTTGCTCGGGTCTGTGGAATCCTGATCTTTAAGATCCAAGTGAGTGATCCCAGTAGTGAAGAAGCTCGGGAGCGACTTTTGATCGAGAGCCTCTTGAAACTGTCGGGCGAGCACAGCGCGACACACTACGAACCCCTTCAGCCAGTAATGATGCAGCCTGTCGAGCCCCGGACTTTTCCAGTTCGGGGGCCCTACCGACCGCCTCAGCCACGTCTTCAGGCTTTATGGTGACGGGCTCCATAGGCGTAACACTTACACTCTGGCTCGCCACAACTTCTATCCAAGGGCTCTCGCTGTGGTTTACGGGCTCTGACCACAGGCCACGCCAAAACGCGACAGTGTCAACCTGATCCGGTCCTGGGCCCGCTCCATATACCTTTGGTCGTTCCAATGATTTATAGAGCCTCTTCTGATCAATCTGGAAGAGAAGATTCTTGTTGAACTACCTTGACCTCTCGCTAAATCGTCGATTCCGCTTCCCTCAAGCAGCGATTTTTTTGCTTTAGGTCATCTATGCGCTCCGTTAGTTTCTGCGTGATATCCGGCTTTGGACAAACTAATATTTGTCCCAGCAAACGCCATTCTAACGGTGTGCACAACTCTCACTCTTTTATTACCCGACCTGAAGCTTGTCAGTCTGCCGATAAGGGCCCTTGCATTTGCGATACGGTACTCAAATCTTTTTCTCGAGGCTGGGATGGCGCTATTTCTTTGAGTAGCACGTCCAGCCACGGGAAGTTTTGCGGCAATAATACGGCATACTGCCGGTGCGGCGCCAAAAAGAATTGAGTCCGTCTCGCAAAGGTCCCGGCTGGCTTCCAAATAGGTCACCAGCATTGGGTTAAGAGCCCGCACGACAGCCCGATTTCGCTTGCTAAGGGGTATGCGGGAAAGTCGCGGTCGATTTTGGAGAGTCATGCTGCGCGTTTACAGCATCGACTCTTCCAATATACTCCTCATTTTCTCCACTTCGTGGGAGACTATTCCATCAAAGTCTGAATTAGCCACAAATGGAATATTGACGGCAGCATCCACGTATGCAGTTTGTTGCGCATCTAGTGTCGCCGCATTCCCAGCCGTAGCACTTCCATTCGATGAAGGAATAGCCTCACGTCATAGTCGTTCGAGTTCGGCGTCACCAAATATGTTGGAACGCAGGAGTACCGAACTCGGTCTGCCAGGTTTTGCTCAGTGACCGATAGAGATGGCTTCAGCTCTGAAAAACAGCGATGCATCCGAGTCCGATACGCCAAACATCCAGTTTCTTCCCCTTTTGCCCTAAAATACGCCCGCAGTGCGTTTGCGTTCATTAATTTTGACCAACGCATGCGACGTGCTCCACCAGCGGCGGGTGCCGCTTGCTTAGTCCGAGAAGACCCAGCTGACACCAAGCCTTCTGGTGGGGATGATGGATGCGGGGGGCTGCTAGATGGTCTTGCAACACCCCGCGCTCGGCTGGCGGCCCGCATGCTGTCGAGTCCAGCGCCAGCTCCAGACGCGCCCTGGCGACCTCCAGGCAGCGGCCCTTTGCGCACTATCTTTTTTTCCATCATCCATAATTTGGGCGTCCATTAATGGAAGACGCCCAGGCCCGGTACCGTATCGTGGACGGCCATAAATACAAACGGGTCTTTGCACCCTGAATCTGCCGAGGCACGGTGCTCACACCTCTCGCAAGGCGCTGACTGACTGCGTTGACGTAGCAGTTTGTCACTTAACTGTTACGTCAGCGGGCGATGGGGTCGTCAATTCCCTACGCCATTTTATTATTTTATTATTATTTGTGGTATCTATATAGTTTTCTCATCTGGTTGGGTTATATAAATATATAATTATAAATTAAAATGAAACGATAAATATACATAAATATCAATAAAATAAAATAAATACATAAATAAATAAAAGCCCAACCAGATGGAAGCCCTCGGCAGGGGAGACCAAACGGCCGATGGTTAGGAGGAAAGGGAAAGAAACCGGCGGACGATGCGGGCGGTATCGAGGAGCACCGCCCTTTGCATTTGAGCCCAGAGCAGTCCGTCACGGAGTCCCAGTCCCCTCAGATGACCCGAGAGGCTGACTGGGATTAGCCCATTCGCAGAGACGACTACAGGAATAATTTCGACCGGCAGACCACCCCACTTATCGGTCAACTCGTGAGCCAGCTCCAGATATTTTGTTCGTTTATCTGTTTCGGCTTTCACGAGGTTCTCGTCATACGGAATGGTAATGTCAACCAAAAATATCCTTGACTGTGCCCGGTCCATCAGCACAATATCAGGCCTATTCGCAAGAATAGTTCTGTCTGTGATGATGGCCCGGTCCCAGTAGAGCCTAGTGCGGTCATGACAGGAGACTGTATTTCAGAGCGAGCTCCTGGTGTAGAATTCTGGCTACTAGGTTGTGCCTGTACAAGTACTCAGAGTTAGAAAGCGCCGAATAACCGGAGATGACATGCCTAAGTGACTCACCGGGATGGCGACAAGCTATTATTATTATTGGGGTATGTATATAATTTTCTCACCCGGTTGGGTTCTATAAATATATAATTATAAATTAAAATGAAAAGATAAATATACATAAATATCAATAAAATAAAATAAACACAAAAACTACAACTACTACTTGTTATTATTATTATTATGTGGGGGTATCAATACAGTTTTCTCATCTGGTTGGGTTCTATAAATATATAATTATAAATTAAAATGAAAAGATAAATATACATAAATATCAATAAAATAAAATAAATACAAAAAATACACAAATAAATCAAGATGCAACCAGATGGAAGCCCTCGGCAGGGGAGACCAAACGGCCGAGGGTTAGGGGGAAAGGGAAAGAAACCGACGGACGATGCGGGCGGTATCGAGGACCACTGCCTTCTGCATTTGAGCCAGGAGCGGTCCGTCACGGAGTCCCAGTCGCCTCAGATGACCCGAGAGGCTGACTGGGATTAGCCCATTCGCAGAGACGACTACAGGAATAATTTCGGTCGGCCAACCACCCCACATGTCGGTCACCTCGTGAGCCAGGTCCAGATATTTTGTTCGCTTATCTGTTTCGGCTTTCACGAGGTTCTCGTCATACGGAATGGTAATGTCGACCAAAAATATCCTTGACTGTGCCCGGTCCATCAGCACAATATCAGGCTTATTTGCAAGAATAGTCCTGTCTGTGATGATGGCCCGGTCCCAGTAGAGCCTGGCGCGGTCATTTTCGAGCACGGCTTCCGGCAAGTACTTGTAATACGGCAATTTCCGGTCCACGAGACCGTATTTCAGAGCGAGCTCCTGTGGTAGAATTCTGGCTACTAGGTTGTGCCTGTGCAAGTACTCAGAGTTAGAAAGCACCGAACAACCGGAGATGACATGCCTAAGTGACTCCCCGGGATGGCGACAAGCTCGACAGACGTCGACGGTGCCATCCTTTAGGATGTATCTCCGATAGTTGTTGGTCTTAATAACCTGATTCTGTATTGCACAGACAAAACCCTCGGTTTCCCCGAAGAGGTCACCGAAACGTAGCCAGTTGAGGGAGGCGACTGTATCTACGAAGGGCTCATGTAGAGCCCTGTAGTACCTCCCGTGGAGCTCCTTCTCCTTCCATACGGTCTCCCGGTCGGAAATGCTAAGCACTGCTGGGTCCTGCCATTGCTCGTTGGCCAAGGATAGAGGGGTAAGCCCTTTATCACTAGAAATGACGTCATTATAGAATGGATCATCCGATCTCGCCAGGAAGTAATCACGGAGGCTGCACACTTCACGATTATGCATAGTGAGCGCGCTCAGAAAGCCACGCCCACCATGCTTTCGCGGCAAGTACAGCCTCATTACCGACGATCTCGGATGATGCATCCTATGGGACGTCATGGTAGTGCGGACTTTTCTATCCAGGGCGTTAAGTTCAGTCTGAGTCCACCTGAGTATGCCAAAGGTATACATAAGGACAGGTATGACCCAACCGTTATATGCGTGTGTCTTATTCACACCGGACAAAAGGCTATTAAGCACTTTGGTCAAGCGTGCATAAAACACGTCGCAAACTGACTGTTTCATACCAGCCTCATCGATACCGATGTTCTGTGACATACCCAGGTATCGGTATGTTTCAGCCTCGGAAAGGGTCCTTAGTTGACGGGCATAGATAAATCTATGCCCTCAGAGTTAGCAACCCTTCCCCTCTCAACATGGAGGACCGCACACTTATCCGTCCCCAGCTCCATTCTAATAGAATTGCTAAATTCACAAGTGATGTTTAGCAATTCCATAAGATGGGAGCGACTGGAGGCGAATAACTTAAGGTCATCCATATAGAAAAGGTGGGTCACTTTTGTCCCTCCTTTTCGAAGCTGAAATCCCCTCCCGGATCCCTCCAGTAAGGTACTGAGAGGGTTCAGGGAGAGGCAGAACCAGATTGGACTCAGACAATCGCCCTGGAAGATACCCCTTCTTATCCGTATGTGGTTCTCCGCAGCCATCATCCGCTCACCCAGATGACAAAGAATCGTACTCCACTGCCCCATACACTGCTCGAGGAAGTCTCTCACTGTACAGTCTATCTTGTACAGCTCGAGGACTCTCTTTAGCCATGTATGGGGCACCGAGTCGAATGCCTTTCTGTAGTCTATCCAGGCGGCGGAGAAGTTCCGACGGTTGCGTTTCACCACTTTGCCAATGACCGCGTCAATGAGGAGTGGTTCCTTAGTTCCACGACCACCGCCCCGACATCCATTTTGAGCGCGTGACATCATCTGATTTAGCTCCAGGTGACGAGTGATTCTCGCGCTCAAAATGGATGTCAGTGTCTTATATATGGTGGGTAGACACGTAATGGGGCGGTATTTGCTCGGGTCTGTGGTAACCTGGTCTTTAGGAATCAAATGAGTGATCCCAGTAGTGAAGAGGCTAGGGAGCGACTTCCGGTTGAGAGCCTCTTGAAACTGACGGGCGAGCACAGCGTGACACACCATGAACCCCTTCAGCCAGTAGTGATGCAGTCCTTCGAGTCCCGGACTTTTTCCAGTTCGGGGCTCTACGGACCGCCTCAGCTACGTTATCCGGCGTTATGATGACGGGGTCCATGGGCGTAATCCTCGCACACTGACTCGCCACAACTTCCGTCCAAGGGCCCTCGCGGTGGTTTACGGGCTCTGACCACAGGCCATGCCAAAATGCGACAGTGCTAGCCTGGTCCGGTCCTCGGCCCGCTCCACATACCTCTGGTCGCTCCAATGATTTGTAGAGCCTCTTCTGATCACTCTGGAAGAGACGATTCTGGTTGAACCGCCTAGAACTCTCAGTAAATCGGCGAATTCGCTTCGCCCAAGCAGCAATCTTTTGCTTCAGGTCGTCTATGCGCTCCGTTAGTTTCTGCGTGATATCCGGCTGGGACAAACTGATATTTGTCCCACCAAACGCCATTCTAACGGTGCGCACAACCCTTGGTCTATTATTACCCGACCTGAAGCTTATCAGTCTGCCGATAAGGGCCCTTGCCTTTGCGATACGGTCCTCAATTCTTTTTCTCCAGGCTGGGATGGCGCTACTTTGTTTAGTAGCGCGTCCAGCCATGGGAAGTCTGGCGCCAATAATACGGCAAGCTGCCACTGCGGCGCCAAAAAGAACTGAGTCCGTCTCGCAAAGGTCCCGGCTGGCTTCCAAATAGGTTACCAGCATTGGGTTAAGAGCCCTCACGACAGCCCGATTTCGCTTGCTTAGAGGTATGCGGGGAAGTCGCGGTCGATTTTCGAGAGGCATGCTGCGTTATTATTATTATTATTATTATTGTGCAATGAATTTAAGAACAAGGGTAATGTTACAGGGAATTAAAACACATAATATGTTTCGTAGGTTATTTGCAAAATCAACCCGACAAAACGGAACTAAAGTTTCAACGGCGCATTGGAACTGAGCAAATATGTTCGCGAACTTTATTGAAGGCATGTATTTTGCACCTACGTTTGTTCTGTCGTGTTGATAATAGGTATATAAATTTTAACATTCAATATTAAAGTAAAGTAAGTAAGTAACGGCCAATTTCAGTAAAGTCTAGCTATCTGCACAGGGCAGGATTATAAGTATATGTGTATATAAGCAAGTCCGCTCTTTGCTCCCTCACTCTACTAGCTCGATAGTACGATAATCTGACAAGACCGTAGCAAAATCTGGTGCAGGAGCAACTGCTTTACTTGTTTTCCGTGGCATCGGAGTAAAACACGGTCAACTTCCTTACTTCAGACTGTTACTGATTATTTCTTGACAGAAATCCCAATAACTGATTTTGTTCCAACATAAGATTTGTATGTAATTGTGTATGTGTGAAATGCCAAGATCAGCAGACGCGTTTACGACCATGCAATTGATAAGTCAACTAATTATTTTTATTAGTTGACTTATCAATTGCCTGGTTTAAAAAAAGAACATATTATATGAAATCGTATAACATAAAATCGAATACTTTACGAAAAGGATTACGAAAGGGAAAGTAAGTTCTAGGCAAAGACATTTAAGTATAGTACATATGTTTAAAAATCTTTGGTTATAAGGATTTTTACAGATGTTTTTTATGTTCACTGATTGCTCGGAAACCGTAGAACTGATTTTAGTGATTCTTTTTTATTAAATATATTCTACTTCAAAATTAGTCCCATATTCATTTTGAATAAAACATTCATGATTACGATGGATCCAAAATAGGCGACTAAGTTTTAAGCATCGGAACTTGTAGACCATGAAAGCAATTTATTTTACATTAATACAAAAATTTTGTACCTAATTGGTAATATTTAGTAACCAATGTTAATATTTGATCGCTTTATAAATAGAGAAAAAAATCAAAAATGAAGTGATCAGTCACCTGACGTTGGGATGCCTGGGCCAAGTGTATTTCACCTAGTTCTAGATATTATAAATAGTTTATCGCTTTGTCAAGATTTAGTAGCTAATTGTTATCTATGTATATAGTTTTTTCAATTTTGTAATACATCTATAAAAAAAGTAACGCTTAAAATATATTCCAATTCGTTTTATACAGAATGTTGTGTTATAGACTGCTAAGCAGAAAAGGAATTATTTCGTAAAATTAATTCGTTATAAGATTTAATAAAAATTTATAAATATAATTTGGTATATTGTTCGTATTACTAAAATAATCGTAAGTAGAATTATTGGTGGAGCGTCGAGCCTAAGGTTGCCGAAGTCTAATTCCCCGGTCGAACCTTAAAACCTATTACGCGAGCTATTAATCTAAGTGGACTGTATCTACAAAATGTTTCTACACTTATATAAACGGCGACTATAGCATGCGGTACAATGCACTCGCTCTTCCCTAAAAACGAACTATTATTTGCCAAATCGATGAAAGGAATCCTGCTTGATTAGGAGAAAACAAAATCGGAGCAGGTTAAAACACAATTATATCAAGCAGGCAATATTATTAGGAATATTCACTCACCGGGATGTTTCTTCTATGCTGTTGGGCACTATAGCTGCGACTTCTGGAACTTCTTCTAGAACTATTTTTCACACAGGGTGAGGCGGGTTTCCTGGAGCTCGACTGCTTCCAGGCTAAAGCGGTTCTTCTAGCGGTGTGGTTCCAACAACGAGCGCGGCGGGAAGAGCGCGCGTCGGTCGCGCGTGCCTTTTATACCTTCGGTTGCGATGATCACGTGGTATTCTAGAATCATCTTCTTTCCCCTCCCACCCCACCACCCCGATGTGTCGATAGGAGGGTAGGAATGATATCGTTTTGGAAAGGGATTAGCGATATGGCAGCCTACCGTCAAAATAAATAAATACGAATGGTTTTCCGCGCAACCATCTCCCCCGCCCTTGAAGGATTTCCTTCAAAAAATAACTAAAACAACTAGAGCTAAGATCAAACTAACAAAATAACTAACTAACGCTAAGATTACCTAAATTCAACTACAATTTCTAATCTAGAAAGCTAATTTAAATTATGGAAGAGGCAGGGGGCACAAACGGACAACAGGACGCAGGTAAGATCCAACCGTGGTCTTAACGCGAGCTACCCTAATTACTCCGTCGGAGCCGGGAAAGACCTCTTCGACAATTCCTAACGGCCAGTGGAGAGATGGCGTATTCTCTTTGGTGAGCACAACTACAGTTCCTACAGCTAAAGGCTCAGTTGCTGTGTTCCATTTTTGCCGAGACTGCAAAGTATGCAAGTATTCCATCCTCCATCGTTTCCAAAACGATTGCACTAACCGGTCTAATAATTTGTGGCGTGCGGAAATGCTAAGTCTGTTCTCATTCATATCTTCGGCGGGCAAATACTTTAAAGGCGTTAAATTTAAAAATGTGCTGGAGTTAGAGCCAGCGGTTCCGAGGGGTCACTAGACAACGTACGACATAGTGGGCGGCTATTCATTACGCATTCGATTTGAGCGAGCACCGTACTTAGCTCTTCGAAGGACAAAATTTGATCTCCTATTACTCGGTATAAGTGACTCTTTAGACTCTTAATATTAGTCTACCAATTGCCGCCAAAATGACTTGCGGCTGGGACGTTCAGAGACTACTCAATACGGTTCTCGGCTAGAATGTGAGCGAACTCCGAATTATAATACTTGCTAGCTAAAAGCTCATGTAGTTCTGATAAAATACGTTTTACACCGACGTAGTTTTTACCGTTATCCGAATATAATTTACTTAGAGGGCCACGGCGGGATAGAAATCTTTTAAATGCACCAATAAAGCCTGCTGTGCTTAGATCACCAACGATTTCTATATGCACCGCTCGAGTAGTTAGACATACGAAAATGCAGACGTAAGCCTTTGTGGATCTTATACCACGCCCGCGAGTGAGCGTGACCTTAAACGGACCAGCGAAATCAGAGCCGGTGTGCGTAAAGGGCTTTACTGATTGTATTACTCTACAAGATCTAAGTTCCGCCATTTCCGGAAATGACGGCTTGGGGCGTGCCCGAAAGCAAGCTATACATCTGTGCATCCGATTGCGTATTAAACTACGTGCAGAAAGAATCCAATAATTTTGACGCAAGATCGACATCAGCAAGTCGGGGCCAGCGTGCGAATTCAATTTATGATGGTAATCCACTAATAAATTCATGATATGGTTTGATGAAAACTATAAGGTGCCGTTGGTCGAAACTCAACTGCGAGTTGGACAAGCGTCCACCTTACAAAACCCTTACAATCCCATCCTGTAAAAATGGCTTAAGGTGTTGAAAGGCGCGACTACAAGCTCTATTCGATTATAATCTTGTAATTTCTTCAGAGAAGTGTGCATGTTGAAGTTCACGTAATACTAGCGACTCGGCATAGTTGTAATCGGACGCTAAGACATACGAACGTCGCGGTAAAAGCTTCGCGAATCGACAAACGTAAATTACGCTACGCAATAATTTCGACTAAGAGGACAAGCGGTTCGCCAAAGCAAACAAAGAAACCTCGCTCGAAACGTTCGCCACTAGAGCGTGTCTCTTCTCTTCTGGCGGTTGTGACACTGACGAAGGTTCGAAATCGGTTATTGGCCATTGCGAGGGATCCAAGTGAACCCAAGAAGGTCTATGGAACCAAAGCGGGTGGTCCATTATTTGCATCGGGGTGAGTCCACGGGATAGACAATCGGCAGGGTATTCCGTTCTTGGCCACTCGGTTCGCAACAAACGTATCCCAACGGTGGGGTGAAGAATGAACCCAGCATAAGGCGACGGTGGAGTCGGAAAAGGCAAATATCCTTTCTATGTGAACTCTATCCCTACATGCGCTGATAACTGCGGTAATAAGCTTGGTGAGTACTAATATTGCGCAAAGCTCTAAGCGCGCCAGAGAGACAACCTTACGGGGGGAGACTCTCGACTTAGAACTAATGAGGCTAATCGAATTTCTACCATTATTCTGAACGTGGAAATATACAACGCCCCCGTAAGCCTTCTCGCTGGCGTCTGCAAACCCAACGACCGATATGACGCTATTTCTATCGACGTTTATATGACGCGGTATTTTAATTTCTCTTAGTAAAGGAAGTTCCTCTCTAAAACGCTGCCACAACCGAACAATGCTGTCAGGTGGCGAATCATCCCAATCGCATTCAAATAACCAAAGTTGTTTAATCAAAAGCTTAGCGTATAATACCACCGGAGCTACGAAATCCATGACATCCCATAATCTAGCAACGCATGACAGTATTGTGCGCTTTGTGCATTTCTCTACGGGCGGATTTATCTTAAGGCTAAACACTTCGGACTCTGGTGACCAACACAGACCGAGCACCTTGTGTGTATCAGAATCGTCGAATTCCTTTATCGCCGAAAGACGGTGTGACAGTGGGATTGTATCTAAAACCGGACGCGAATTACTAGTCCACTTCACAAGATCGAATTGACCCGATTTCATGAGCCTTATAACCTCGGTGGTGGTTAGGGTGGCCTCCTCCACGCTATCGACCGAGTATACAAAATCATCCATATATAATCCACTTTCAATTGCCCTCTTAGCTTTAGGATAAGAGGGACCTTCATCGTGGGCGAGCTGTCTCACCGTGCGTCACGCATGAAATGGGCTCGACTTTAAACCAAAACAAACGCGGTTAAATTCAAACACTATTAGAGGTTCCTTTGGGTTGAAACGTTATAAAATACGTTGGAATCTACGGTCGCATTCACGGACCCCTATGCAAAGAAACATTTGGC